GATCTCTGCATCTGCTTCCATCAGTTGCTGGATGAAGTCTCTCTGATGACAATTAGGGTAGTTACCAATCTGATTCCAGGAGAAGGCCAGTTCAAGCACCCTCTCCACTATTGTTAGGGTTCTTAGCTGGAGTCATCCTTGTGGATTCCTGGGAGTTTCCCTGGCATCAGGTTTCTCCCTAACTCCAAAATGCCTCCTCCCCATTGAGATCTCCCTTTTATCACTCTTCCCGTCCGTCCTGTCCCCAGCCTGCCTCCTGTGCCCAGCCCTCCCAAACCTGATCCCTCATGTTCCCATCCCTGCCACATCTCCACCCCCCAGTTTACCCAGGAGATCTCTTCTATTTCCTCTTCCCAGGGGAATCCATGCCCCCCCCCCCCCCCCCCCCCCCCCCCCCGCTTTGGGCCCTCCTTGTTACCTAGCCTCTTTAGAGCTGTGTATTTAGGAAATATGGTGGAACCAGGAGGAAATAGAGAGTAGTTTACCATACCCATTAATAGAGCCATAGAAAAAAGAGAAGCCAGTGAGTGGCGGTGTACGCTTTTAATCCCAGCACTCGGGAGGCAGAGTCAGGTGGATCTCTGATTTTGAGGCCAGCCTGGTTTACAGAGTGAGTTCCAGGACAGTCAAGGCTACATAGAGAAACCCTGTCTTAAAAAAAAAAAAAAACAGTTTGGGTTGTCTGTCCTAGCATAGGTGATCAGGGCAGAGGAGCTCCTCCAGAGGGGAGAAGGAAGAGCACTCAGCCAGCTTCTGGTTGCCATTTAGCCCAAGTGAGCTCTGAGAGAAGGCTGGTTCTCTGGTCTCCAAGGAGGAGCAGGGAGAAGTGGAGAGGCCCAGAACAATGGCTGAAACAGAACTGGTAAACTCTACTGTCCAATTAGCCACTCGGTCATCCACAGAAATAGACATAAAAATTTCCAACCAGTGGGGAGGGGGTGGGAGGAGGGAGGACAGGGGAATCTGTGGCTGATATGTAAAATGAAATTATTTATAAAAATAAAATTAAAAAAGAACAACAACAACAAAATTTCCAACCAGAACTTCGGCAACATCTTGACTTTTGGAGGAGGGGGCCAGAGAGGAATCCCCATCAGGATTTACTAGACCAGGCCAGAGATAAGAGCCTATATATCAGAATCTACCTCCCCGGAGAACCAGAAGGACTGTTTGTGTCAAGAAACAGCAGGCATTCTAGGACTATCTCCAGGCCTGGTGTGGAAGGCACAGGGCCCTGGAATGTCCCAGGGTGCCTCCCCTGTAACAGTTCACCAGTGGAGAGACCCAGAGCGAAGGTGAGCATTGAATGGCCATCTTGCTGGGGCCTGCAGATGTCTTACCCAAGGGAGGCATAGAAGAATGTTATTCAATGACAGATCGAGTCCTTTCTTTTCTGTCAGTTCAGAGCATGCTCATGACAAACATTCTCCTGACCCTGGAGAGAGGCAGGTTGTAAAAGCTCCAAACCACAATTATACCATACCAGGGTCCGAAGTTTCGAAAGTTTCTGTTAACAAAGATTTTAAAAGCTCTGGTTTATTAAAGCAATGGACTTGGAGCTGCAGGGATGGAAGACTAGAATGTTCTGCTCAGCAGGATGTCGTTAGCAGGGTTAGGAGGCCCTTGGGTGAAGCATGTAAAAAGCAGTCAAGCTAAAGCAAAATGGGGTTACCTTGGTCAGTTCACTATCTTCCTGAGTTACAAGACTCTGACTAACTCAGAGCTTTGATTATTACAAGAAAGTGGAACATCTGAATTGGGAAAGTAAAAGGATTAAAGATAAGTTAAAAAAAAGCCATGATGTCTCCATAAACTTTCATTTAGAATACCAATAGAGAGATTCCCATTGACTCATTTAAAAAGACAAGTGCCATTGCTGAAGAGAAGGCTCAGAGGTCAAGAGTGCTTGCTGCTATTATAGTGGTCTAGAGTTTCATTCCCGGTGCCCATATTGGGTGGTTCATAACTACCAACAACTCCAGCTCCAGGGGATCCAAGCACTGACCCAACAGGTTGTGGAGCCCTGCAATCTTACATGTCCTTGATTACACCCTTCATCTCTCTGGAGCCTTCTTGGATTTTCTTAGTGACAGACAGGTACAATGATCCCTTCATTGTCTTTGTGAGGAGCCTACATGTCTTGGTTATCTGCTTCTTCTGTATACTCACATCCCATCCATCCCTCAGCAATCTACCTCTTGGTGGCTTTCTAAGATGTCATTCTTCCCTAGCTTCACCCCGCTGCTGCTTCATTCCAATCCAGCACCATTTCCTTGGACTCTGCTGTGACCAGATGAATGGTCTCACCATTTCTTCACTCCCCCCCTCCTCTGCTCACTCAGATTACAGAAATATGCCATCAGTTTTAAAACCACATAAATAACCCAGGGACCTTATTAAACAGAACACTAATTCAATAGATTGGAATAAGGCCTATGATCCTGTGTTTCTTTTTGTTGTTGTTTTGTTGTTTGGGACAGGGTTTCTCTGTGTAACAGCCCTGGCTGTCCTGGAACTTGCTTTGTAGACCAGGCTGGCCTCGAACTCACAAAGATCCACCTGCCTCTGCCTCCCAAGTGCTGTGATTAAAGGCGTGAACCACCACGCCCGGCTTTGATTCTGTATTTCTAAGAAGCTCATAGGTGAGGCCAGTGCTGTTTATCTATGTGTCACATGTGAATCCTCACATGTTGTTTCTAAGACTTAACCCTGAACTGGAGGTGTAACAGTCTTGGTGAATTCTTCTATCGAACATGAGGCCTTGGATTTGACCTCTGGTACCAAATAATACCTTAAATTTAAATATAAATGCATCATTACTTTCCTTGCCTCTCCTCAGTGGCTCCCTTATGTCAGTAGTTCTTTCATAACTTGTCAGTCTGTATTCCCCCCACATTCAATCAATTATTTGCAGCTCCTCAGAGCACTACGCTCCGCCATTCTCACCTGGAATGCATCTTACATCTCAGCCTCTAACTCATTCCTACTCTCTTGGTAAGCCTCTCCGAGCCATTAGCCCCTCCAGGAAGCCTTTCTTTCTTTCTTTTTTAATATTTTTATTTTATAATTAATTTAATTTTACTTATCAGCCAAGCCTGTGCCTTTCTACAAGTCTCCACTCACCCTCCCAAATAGCTTAAGAGAAAAGCAAGGAATCTCTCCAAGACAGACTTGTCTCATCTGGCCATTGCTGTCTGGAGATACACTTGCCCACTGACCTGCCCATTTCCTTACTCAGATCTGGAAGAGCAGAACCTGAGACAGTGAAAGGTCATCACTGTGTGCTGGGTAAAAGAAAGCGTCCCAGAGACCCACCACTTGTCTTTGGGTAGCTTCTCCAAGCCCTTGTCCAATGATGGCTGTCTCTTCAGGGCTCTCTTAGGGAGGATTGAGAAATGGGACGTTTTCTACTCATTGTGTGCTCGTAACTGGTGCTTCAAACTGGTTTACATTTTCTCTTTTATGTTCTATTTCCTTCCTTTGCGTTCTAGGAATCAAAACCATGACCTCACACATGCTAAACAAACGCTTTACTGCCCAGCCGCACTTCCCGTCCCATACCTTTCCTTTGGGGTTCACTACTCTCCCCTTTTTTCTTGGTAGAATCTGGGGCCTGCTTAATTTTTACCTTTTGCTGCTCTGGAGCTTCCTGCCATTCCACATGCTGCACCCAGACCAGATCTTCTTGGGTATGAGCCTCAGTGATCACTCTTGAAATCTGAGTGTCTAAACCACCATCTTGATCTCTCCATGTGTCAGCCAGTTTTTTTTATTATTATTATTATTATTATTATTATTATTATTATTATTATTATTGCTATACACCATACCCAAGATAATCACTCTACTGAGTGCAAAGATTCTTTGGGCCTACAGTTTTAGAGATTTCGATGCATGGCTGGTTGGTCTATTGCTCTGAGGTCTGTGTTGAAGCCTGTCCCCTTCAAGGACACAGTCCCAGTGACCTAACTTCCTCACTAGACTCTACCTCTTAAGATAGGTGGCCTCTAAAGACAACTGCCATGAGCCAGGTTGCATTAGAAAAGGATCTGAAGCCCAGGGCAGAGGAGATTGTGTTCTGTTCCTGGCCATATGCAATCACTTGCTTCTCTGGGTCTCTGTTCCCTCATCAATGGATGTACCTTCCTTGTCACCCCAGAGTGATGGGAAAGCTTCCACAAGGCAGCATGGAAGGGCTAAGGAACCGACAACACAGACAGGTACAGTGAGACCCATCCGGGTGTGAGGATACAGAGGCAAGACAGGGGAGACTCCTGGATTCCTGGATCATCCCACCAGCTATTTGGGAGGGTGAGTGGAGACTTGTAGAAAGTCCTCCTGGAGGGGCTAATGGCTCGGAGAGGCTTACCAATAGAGTAGGAATGAGTCAGAGGTTGAGATGTAAGATGCATTCCAGGTGAGAATGGCAGAGTGTAGTGCTTTTGAGGAGCTGCAAATAATTGATTGAATGTGGGGGGAATACCGACTGATGAGTTATAAAAGAACTATTGACATAAGGTCAGTGGGCCACAGGGAGCCACTGAGGAATGGCAAGGAGTGTGGCAAACTTCTAGAAGTCGGTCAGCCCAAGTCGGGCCTCCCAAACTGGCCAGAGTAAAGAGATCACCCCCTCAGAGTGACAGGCAGGCTGTCTCAGCTCTTCTCTGTCTTTGTCTGACATTGTCTGAGTGTCTTTTACACAACCTTACAAACCTCCACACAGGCAGAGGACATTGGGAACTGTCTGGAGCCAGCCCCAGCGGTCAGCAATACAGTCTGGAGGATGGGATAAGAGAATCACAGAGTCAGATGGTACGGCAGGGCGGAGGCAGCCAACCTTCCTGGAAGAGATGCTTTTTCAAACCTCTCCTCAGGACTTTATTATCTCTTTCATGGCAAAGAGACAAATTAGTGTCCATTTCCTTTAGTACACGGGGTCACCCTGGACTTGGATCCCAACCAGTGATGGCTTTACCCCATGGCCCTGTGTGTAGTGTTCACTATGCACGACCTCGGGGGAAGGCTGTGGACTGTGGCTCTCCATTGGCATTGTAGGGGCCATTTTGGTGCCTCTGCTCCCCAAGGATTTGGAAGCCACCACCTTCCACCCAGAGGGCTTTCTCTTCCTCCCAGAGGGCATTCTCTTCCTCCCAGAGAGACTTTTTATCCCCCCACAGAGCCTTCTCTTCAGCAAGCAGGGCTCTTTCCTCCACCCACAAGGCCTTTTCCTCCTCCCAGAGGGCCTTGTCCTCCTGAAGAAGATTCCTGTCTCTTTCCCATAAAGCATTGTCCTCTCTCCAGAAGGCCTTGTCCTCTTTCCAGAAGGTTCTGTATTTTTTCCAGAAAGTCTTTTCTTCTTCCCGGAAAGATTTTTCCCTTTCCCAGAAGGATTTTTCTTCTCTCCAGAACATCTTCTCTTCTTCCCAGAAAGGTCTTTCTTCTTCCTGGAAATCCAGGATCTGGCTCCGAAAAGCCCGGATCTTGCTTCGGAAATCCCATATCTCTTCTCTGAAGTCTTCTATTTTCTCGTGGAAATTTTTCATCTCTTCTCGAAAAGCCTTTTCCTCTTGCAGCTTGTTTATTAGTTTCTTCTGACGAATACTGGGTGAGGACAGCACCAGAGACCGGAGGCATGCCAGTCCCACCCATTTGCTCACCTTGAAGGGAAACATCTTCCAATCAGCCAGAGTGGTGGGCGGCTGTGTTGGAGGTCAGGGCTATTGGCCACGTCCAGGTCAGTTGGTCAAACCCTGTGAGTACACCAGAAAGAACACGTCCATGAGTATGGGAGGCACTCTGTCTGATATGGGAGAATTTAACCACTGCTCTCTTAGTCCTATTAGTGCGAGGCAAGATTTAGTACAGAAGAATGCTGGGTGGCCATGGCCTTGAGCCGGTTGATGCATTGATAACCTTCAAGGTCTAGTGTTCCACAAACAATCTCGACAAACAACAAAGACAGTGGTGGTAAACTTATGATCAAAGTACACAAGGGTGATGTGATAATGAAGGTGTTTGGTGGTGGAACAATTGGGGAGCAACATCGAGCTAATTTGTGAGCACCTGAGAAGGGCCTCAGAGGGGCTGGCAGCATCCCGTTTCTTTGCCCAAGAGGTGTCCTAAAATATGTTTGTAAAATATTTAACACCAGTTGAAGAAAAGGGACGAAGAGAGGAAAGAGGAAGATGAGGAGGAACGGGGGGTGGGGGTGGGGGGGAGAAGAGAAAGGGAAACAGGGAAGGAGAGAAGAGCAAAGGAAGGGAAGGGAGGGAGGGAGAAGGAAGAGAAGGGCAATAAAAGAAAGGAGAGGAAAGAAGAGGGAAAGGGAGAGGCTAAGGATTCTAAACACGTTCATGTATCTGAGGTAGCATATTTCATGACAATTCACAGTTCAGGTAACTACCAAGGTCGCCACAGGGTGAGAAAGATGAATGCTTAGAGTGCAGGGAAAGCTGGATGTAGCTAGTGTGTGCACTCAGGTGCAGAGATCCCATTGTGTGCTTCTGGGAAGCTGGGGTGGGTTTGTCTCAGGGGTCCTCACCAAAGCACACACTGTAAAGCAGCATGAGCCACTTGGAGGAAGTTTCCCAGACCTTCCCTGGGGTTTTCTTTCTCTTCTGGCTTGGGATTAGAAAATGAAGACCGTCTCTCCCTCCTGACTCTGTCTCCTCTTTCTCTTTCCCTTCTCCCTCTTCCTCCCTCCTCTCTCCTTTCCTTCCTTCCCTCTCTCCCTCCCTCCTCCTTCCTGTGTGTGTGTGTGTGTGTGTGTGTGTGTGTGTGTGTGTGTGTGTGTGTGAGAGAGAGAGTGTACCTGTACCTGGGTGTATATGCATACATGAAAAGATAGTGGCTATGGTGTGTATGGCCTCTCCTGTTGACCTGGCCTCTCCCCAGTAACACAAACCAGAAACCTGAGGCTCACTTCTGATCTCCTCCTATACCAGATTTCTCCTCAACCACCAAGCTCTGTCAGTTCTGATCCTTTACATGTCTTGGAGGTACACACTTCCTGTTCCATCTTCCTGTGCCCATTTCTGGGTAGGATGTCTTTTCCTGCTTCCCTGGTCTCTGGTGTTGATCTTGCTGATAGGAATTCCAGCCCCACACCCATGGTTGCACATGCCCTGGCGGGACACTTAGTCATTTCCGCCTGGCCATTTCCCGGTCATACGTCCTACTAACCCATGCGCTGCGTGGTCACGTAATCGCGTGGCATGACCACGTGATCTATGCACATGTGTGGAGTAGCCACATGAGCCTGTGTGCACTGGTGCGGGCTGGCCCTTGAAAAGGCAGGCCCCATGTCCCCCCTCCCCTGCCCCCTTCTCCCACAGGTGTTCTTTCAGCAGGCCTAATCACATCTATCCCTTTCTCCTTGTCCGAATAAAACTCTTGTTAGTGGATTCTGTCGTGTTTCGTGACTTTTCCTCGCAGGGTAAGAGCGCCGCTAAAAATCACCACTTGCAGTCCAGATTATCTGCCTACACAGGGTAGCCTTCTCCCACACCCCTATGGATTTCCAAAATTTTGTCCTGTTGTATCACACCTACTTACAAGCAGTCAAAGACTCCATAGCCTGAAAATCAAAGCCTACGGACAACTGCTTGTCTATCTCTTTACTTTCCTCTGTCTCTCCACTCTGTTCCACGTGACATAGAGTTACTTCTCTAGATACAACCCGAACATTTTTACCTCTCTGCCGAAGCCCCGGCTGTGTCTCCTCTAAGGCTTCCCTCACCTTCTGGGTGGGCTTCAGTTCTTGTTTCTCCCCTCTGCTCTCTGTCTGTCTGCCAGTGTTCTACCATTGCCTGACATACTTGGCATCATGTGTGGATGTGTCTCCCTGCTGTCTCTGTAACCTGGCAGCCAGTAAAGAAACGTTGGATGCATATAACTGAATTTAGAACTTTGATTTTGTTTATGTCATTATATGGTTCCTGAACTAGAATCTCTAGAATAAGCTAAGTTCTCCATTAGTCCCACCCTCCTCTGGATAGCTTGAACTAAATGACCTGATTCTTCCAGATTTAGGCAAGGAGGCACCCTCTCCTCACAGCTGCACAGACTCAGGCTCAGGGCTGCCTGCCTGTCCAGTTAGCAGTGCCCTGTCTCCCATCCCTAGGTCCAGTGACTAGCCTAGCGTAATTTTTGCCACAGAGCAGATGTTCAAGAAATAGCAGCTGAATGGGTGGTAGTTTCCTGAATTAGGAAAAAATCATCCCCTAGTTTTTCTCAAGTTACCACTACATTATCTTTGAGGGGGCTGGCAAGATGGCTTAGTGGATAAAAGCACTTGGTGCCAAGCCTGAAGACCTGTGCTTGATTCCTGGAAGCCACATAATGGAAGGAGAGAGCCAACTCCTACAACTCCACACATGCACAGTGGTGATACCCTCATACCTATGCACTCAAACAAATGTACAACAAATGCTCTTTTTTTTTTTTTTGGTTTTTTTCGAGACAGGGTTTCTCTGTGTAGCTTTGTGCCTTTCCTGGAACTCGCTTTGGAGACCAGGCTGGCCTCGAACTCACAGAGATCCGCCTGGCTCTGCCTCCCGAGTGCTGGGATTAAAGGCGTGCGCCACCACCGCCCGGCGAACAAATGCTCTTAAAAGAAATAAAATAGGTAAAATTGAGTATATATGCATTATATATCAAGAACAATAGAAAACTGCTAATATGTGTCTAGGTAGATACTTTTAAATTTAATAAAAACATGCCTGGTCTTCATAACTGTACTAGGCTAGGACTTATTTTAAGGTTACTTACTGCTTAGCTGTTTCCCAACTGAGAAGGCTCTGAAGACCTCAGGGCAGGCAGTCATTGTCACATCAGAATCCCAGTGATGCATCTCTTGGGCTCACCCCAACACTCCTCACAGTGACCCCTTTGTACTCAGTTCTGAGTCCCAGGGTGGAGGCTATGATGGGGCCCTACGTGAGCGACCTATGAAAGGAGAGAGTGCCCAAAAGATTGGAAAGATGGTGACATCTTTCATCTTGTACTTCACCAATAGTAACAGATTTCATCCGGGTTGTTTCAGGAAGGGCCTCTGGGACCATGTTCCAGGGGGGAGATGTCCGTGATGAAGGACTCTTGCTACTTCTTATATTTGTCTTTGCCTTTTGGTGGTTTGACTAGGGTGTGCCTTGTTCTGTGTTTCTTTTAGTTTATCCTAGTTGATTTTGTTGGGATTCTTGGGTATTTGAAGACTTCTGTGGTCTTTCATCCAATTTCAGATGGGCTTGGTTGTTTTTAGCCCCCTTTCTCTCCCTCTGGGATTTTTATTATTCCTGTGTTTGCAGCTGATGGTGGCCCATGACTCTACAGTTTTGTTTCTTTTACCTTCTTGTTTCTGTCTTTTGGATGGGATAACCTCAGTGGACCTGCTTTTGAGTCCATGGAGTCTTTTCCCATTGGCTCAAATCTACCATTATGCTCCTCAGTTTAGTCTTTCATTTTCAACACTAGAACTATTTTTTTTTTTACATAGTGAAATTTTTATGATAGCACAGAAAATTAACAAATTGTTATTTCACAAAGGTGCGTATCCTTTGAGGGATAGTAAGTTAAGAGCACCCCAAATTTTCTTTCTTAGCAAAAAATCTTCAAGGCAAGACAATTATATCAAGAAATATGTATCTCAGGCTCCCTGACTCACTTCATGTTTCACCCATTTCTCCCCACCCCCCATTGTTTTATTCTGTTTCTATGTTTACAGATGTTTTTTTTTTTCTTCTGAGATGCCACCAGAATAAATGAGACCAGACAGTATTTTTCTTCTGTGTCTGGCTTGCTTCATTTCGTGTAATGTCCTTCAGATGACAAGATCTCCTTAAGGCTTAATTTATTCCTTTGCTTAAGACAGTTTCCGTCTATATTTCTCTGCATTTTAAGATTTTAAGTATCATTCAATAGCTCTGTTCTGAGGTTGGCATGCCAATGATCCCAGCACTTGGGAGACTATGCAGGGGGATCACAAGTTGAAGGCCAGTTTGAGCTACCAAGTGAGCTCAAAGATATTTCTGGTTACAAAGAGAGGATGTATCAAAAAAGAAATATCTTTTCCTGATATCCACTGTAATTTCATTTTTGCTACTTTTACATTTGCTATTTATAATTAAATCTTGCTTAATTTTTGAATATGTGAAACATTTTCCATTTACATTGATGAAGTTAGACTCCTCATGATCTGATAACTCAGCCTTTAATACATAGCTTTTGGGGGATATTTTTAGATTCAAATGACAAGGATGTACTCCTGACACTTCCACCCTGAGGAGATCCCATAGCTGACTTCCAAATTTGTGGGTATCAAAGACCTGAGCCTAGTCACCCCACCCTACCATGCATGCACACACACAGGGGTATGCTGCTCTCACTTGAAGGTGTCTGAGGCAGCTGACAGGAAGAGCCTGTGGGGAACCATGGCTATCAAGATGCCATGATATGGGCTAGAGCTCTGGGCACATCAGCAGTTGTTCCTGAATTCTGGAGAGCCATAGAGAGGCCTGCATATCCCCAGAATGTTGCAGCCATCTTTATCTTAATGTAGCTGATGATTTATCAAATATTGACAGAAGGAGTCCCTGTCATCCTTCTTTCTTTCTCTGAATCTTGTTTAGTAACAAACTTAGAGTCTTTAGATACCTTGCTATATATAATTAAAAGAACAATATAAGGAAACCGTGTCAGTAGGAAAACCACAGAAGTCATTAGAATGTAGATGTTTTAACCTCTTTGTGTATATCAGCATGCTTGCTTCTCATCAAGAGTGCTGGAAGAGGCATGCATATACGCCTTCCCTCTAATGGAGACTAACTGTCATAGTCCCTAAGTCATTGCTACAACTTGGTTAACGTTTGGCTTTGAGTTTTCTTGCCACTAAAGTAAAGTA